GATTTCAAGTAAATTATTCAACTTCCTCGTAATCAGTTTGTAAACCAAATTGATGTCTGATTTTACCGTGGGGATTAAATGAAATAATATATGCAAAAGTGCTTCATATTTAAAAACTGTCAAGTACCTACACCTATACCCAAAAGGCAAATCAAATTCTAACTGTAGCCTGTATGGGAGAATGTCCCATTTTCATCACCCCTACTTTCTCAGAGCCGCAAACTATTCAATGGCACACAACAATATTCTCAGCAGTGACCCCCTCCCCCATTCCTTACAGTCTTCCCAGTTGTGCAGTCTTCTCACAGGGGCACTGCAGAGGTCTGTAACCTCTGATCTCTGATCTCACTTTCCAGCCATATCTCACACCTGGGTTTTCTTCTATTGCAACATCCCCCCCCTAGCTTAACACCCTATTTTACCTACATTCCAAATGGTTTCGGTTAAGGTAAAAGTAAATTCCTGGCATAACCCAACCATTGACTCTCATTTGTGTTTGTATTCAATTTCACCAAATCTGGTTTGTGATGACTACACCACCAAATCTAGCTACCTCTCAACATACCACAGAGACTGCTCTGGTGTCTGTCTCTAATCAGTAACCTCAGTACTGTTAACATCCAACAGAAACTTTTCAGTCTTTATTTTACTTGACCTGTCAACAGCAGTGGACAAAATACCCACTCCTCCTTCAAACACTATCTTCATTGACTTTCCTGATACCACATTCTCCTGGTTTTCTACTTCCCAGGGCTCCTTCTCAGACTTCTTTGCTGGCTCCTTTTCTACTCAACATCTTAAAGCAGAAGTCACTCAGGGCATGGTTCTGGATACTCTTGTCTTTCCTATGACTTGCTTCTGAAAATATTTACATGTGGAATGATCACAAATCTATATTTATATTCTAGACCATTCTTTGAGCTCCAGACTTTTATACCTGCACACTTGATTTTTCCACCAGGATGTTTTATAGGCACCTCGATTATGCCCAAACTGATCTCTTGACCTTCTTCCCAAATTCACATGGAACTCTTCCCTCCTCAGGAGCTTTGATATTTCCTCCATCTGAGCACGTGCCTCCACCTCTTTGCCTGGCTAAGGCCTACTCATCATTTAGGCTTCCCCATAAATGTCATTTATTTTAAAAGGTCTTCTCTGACCCTCTTAACTAAGCTCATCTGACAGCTTACAATTATGTATCTCTGGAGTTGAATTTTGACCACTCCCTCTCTTTCTAGATTAGAAGCATTTGAGTAGGCTATTCCCATTATTCACTCTCTCACCTCTTCAAGTCTTTGTACAAATTGTATCTTCACAATGAGGACTTTCCTGACCGCCTACTTAAATTTACAACCCGGCCCTCCCCTGCATTCCCATCTCCCGTATTTTGCTCTAGTTTTTTGTTCTGTTACAACACTTAGATATTTCTAACATTCCACATAATTTATTTACTTATATTTATTGATTTTTGGTTTTCTCTCTACCCTAGAATTTAAACCCCGTAAGATTTATGTCTGTATCGCTCACTGATACTTTCCAAATGCTTAGCACATAATAGGAGCTCAATAAATATTTGTTGAATAAATGAGCTGTGTCTGTTTTGCTCACCACTACATTCTAGGCTAATCAATTTCTGTGGAATTAAAGCTCAGGTAATATAAAATCTAAGCTGAAGGATGGAGCACAGCACCATGAAGACAATGGGATCCCATATTCTGTGAACCATCGAAAGCTGAATGAATGCTTTCAGATGAAAAAATGCATGTTTATTTGGAATCTAGAAAATGGTCTTCATCTTTTTTACAATTACTTTTTAAGCACACCATTTAATCACATCTTTTACTTTCTTCACATTTTAAGAAGTATTAAGAAATATTAGTGCAAAGCTTAAATTCTATGAGGTCTATGAGGTAGTCTTCACTAGTATGAAAACAGGCCTAAATCAGTGTGCCTAGCACACAAGAAGTCCTCAAGAAGAATTTGTTGAACGGTCTCTAAAGTTCCTATCAGTACTAACATTTTACGGAAGAATAACTTGAGCAGGTCTCCTAAATAAATCGTGATTTTTCCAAAGAAAACCATACACAGATTATCATTTCAGAAATACTCTTGTGCATGGTGAAAAGTTAGTACAAATAAAGAAGTTGGTTACAGACACCAGTTTCACATTTTCACTATTACCTTTTGAGTTCTTTAATCATATTTACATAAACACGTATGGCGCTTTATTTGAAACTTATAACTCTAAATGTGAGAACGCCAAACTCCCAGGGAATGTGATACTTAGAGATTGTACAACTTTCTTCCGGTTCCACAGTCTTGTTGGCATCCCTTCCCTGCTATTATGTAGTTTCCCAGGAAAAACGACAGCTTTTCATTTCCCAGCCCCTTCCTTCCTCACCCATTTTCCGCCTTCACAGCACCCCGCTCCGCCCCAATTTGTTGCTTTCGAGTAGGAAATCGCTTGGCAGGTCCCGCGCTGGGGGAGTGGGAGGAGAGGTTGGGCCAACGCTCAGCACCTTCCGACAGCGCCCCTAAAACTGCCTCCCCGAGCCAGATACAGAGGACTGTCAGTCTTCAAATCTACGCTAGAAACGCGTTTTCTTTCGGAAGGAAACCATCTTTCCCACCCTAAACTAGGGCCGGCTCGTGGGCAGTGAATCCGTGTATTTACACTTGTTTTCTTGCCCCGGAGCTACGCGGCAATTGATTGGCTTCCTTGCGCGCCCAACGCTCGGGGTCCTCCCGCCTCACTGTCCCGCCTGGGCCCCGCCCCCTCGCGCGGCCATCTGCTTCGCTGTCTGGCTCCCAGTCTCTCACTCGCCCCTTTCCGCTACAGCCCGCCTCCCGACGCCGGCTCCGCCCCTTCCCCCTCCCCGCTTGGAGCTCGTAATCTTCCCCGGCCGTTGCTAGGGAGACTAGCAGATATTAGGCAAATAGGCATTCGGGGAAAGAAAAGGGGGGAAAACTACACTGCAGCCTGGTAACAAAGAAGCAATAAAAGCAGCCCCCAAATGGAAGCCTGAGGACGCGTCTGCAAGAAAATCTGAAATCGAGCTAGCAATGACCCCAATTTAAAACGGGGAGGGAGGGGCAGAGGCAAAGCATGGTTCAAGTTGAGGTGGGGGGACAACAACAGCCTTAAATGAGCTTTTGAGAATCGTCTGGATGGTTGGTGTTGGATCAGCCCAGTTGACTTTTCAGTTTGGAACTCCGCTAACACTAGGGACTCGAGTCCATCACGGCGGTCGGGGTCTTGGGCCAGGCCAGCGGGCTCCCTTAAGGGTGATAACATGTTTGTTGGCAAGATGCAATTCTACGGAAACGTCTTTACATCGGCTCTGGGGAATATGACTTCGTGATTGAATATTACGTCTGAAGGAACTGGACAGTGGGAAGATGAAGCTTCACGTAACGCTGTTCAGCTTGGTGGTTTTCAAAGAAACACTTGAACAAAGAGTTATTGGCTTCAACCTACCGTCTTTTTCACGCAGAGTGTGACCCATATCCCTACAATGAGCAGAAAATAAAACTGAGAATTCAGAGCCAGCACCAGGAGAAATGAACCTTTCTCCACTGCTTCTCACCTCCATAAGTGAAAGAGTATTCATTTCAGGATCACTAAAAGTAAACGAGAAAAAAATGGTCTATATTATCTCGACTGAAAACTTCGGGAGCAAAAATGTGGGTGGTGGAGAAATGCTTATTAGGCTGTATCCTTGATTTCCCACGTAAATACTCTAAATCAATGCCTTGTCTTTCACACAAAAATAACGTCTGGTACTTCGGTGGCAGGTGGTGCAGTGGCTGATCGAGGTATCCGGTATCATTTTATACTGTGTCCCAGTATAGCAGCTTTTCCTCTAACCGAGTTAGACTTGGAAGGTTCCGGGGTCTTCTTGCTATCTCTCAACATGCAGACAATTTCTTAGAACTGTAATCGTCGATCTGGTTGTTTAGAATTTCATCGTTGCTGCCTCCCTCCCTTCCAGGAGCACTCTTGCTTGCGTACAACCTCACATACGTTCAGCAAGAAGGAGTCCATCCAATCCTAGCACTAGGCTGAAAACGATCCATATTGACGCGAATTGCATCTGAGCTGTAAATATGGATTCGTACACTCGAGGTTGTGTCTCATTTCATCACAAGGAAAACTAAGTCCTTTCATACAGTGATAAAACGCGAGCAGTTTCGATCGTTTGCAAATGACACTCACTTTATATTGTGGGGGAAAAAACCACTAATTGGGAATAGCCAAAAAGGAGGATTTGATGAGCGACGGAGGCCAATCTCAAAATATTTTGTTTCATGCCAGTGTAGGAGGAGGAGGGGAAGTGGCTTAGGCTGCTTGCCGTTTTTGCATTTTGCACATCTGGCCTACAGACCTAATTCTAACTCACGATCTCGTTTGATGAAATTCGATCTTCGTGGTTTAAATACCTTTCAATTTGGGGAGATTTAACAATTGCAACCGTTAAAAAAAACAAACCCTGTCCACTGTTTGTGGAACCAATATGGAACACGGAGAAAGAAAACATGTTGCACACACACAAATTCCAACCATTGTTTTTAACACTCGCGCGCGCACACACACACAAATACACACATAAACACACGGGAAGATGGGGGAGGGGAGGCAGTGGAGACAGACACGGATATAGACCGACAAGAGTCACAGCGAGTCAAGTTAACGCTTTCTCCGCCCCCAACCACGAGTTCCCCCCCTCCGGTTAATTAATTCCAAACAAAGCAAGCCAATCAAGTGATGCATTATTATTTTCAAGCACAGGGAGGCGAAAGGCATGTATTTTTTAATTGATTTATTTATTTGGAGGACGTTAATTCTCGGTCTGAGGCTGATTTTCAAATCGTTTGCAAAGCGCGGCTCCATTGTTCGCCGGGCGAGCAGGCCCCGCCCCCTACTTTGTGTGCGGCGCGCGGATTGGCCGGCGCGCCCGGGGGCCGCGTCAGCGCCCGCAAGCCCATTCATCTGTGCACTTGGGCGTTGGACCCCGCATCTTATTAGCAACCAGGGAGATTTCTCCATTTTCCTCTTGTCTACAGTGCGGCTACAAATCTGGGATTTTTTTTTATTACTTTTTTTTTTTTTAACTACACTTGGGCTCCTTTTTTGTGCTCGACTTTTCCACCTTTTTTCCCTCCCTCCAGCGCTGCTGCTTTTTGATCTTTCGACTAAAATTTTTTCATCTGGAGTGTATTTAATCGGTTCTGTTCTGTCCTCTTCGCCACCCCCACTCCCCCCTCCCTCCGGTGTGTGTGTTGCTGCTGCTGCCGCCGCTGCCGCTGCTGCTTCTTGCCCCGTCGTTACACAAACCCGAGGCTCTTTGTTTCCCCCTTTGGATCTGTTGAGTTTCTTTGTTGAAGAAGCCAGCATGGGTGCCCAGTTCTCCAAGACTGCTGCGAAGGGAGAAGCCGCCGCGGAAAGGCCCGGGGAGGCGGCTGTGGCCTCGTCGCCTTCCAAAGCGAATGGGCAGGTAAAGTCTACCTGTGGTTCTGGTTCTTTCTTTGATGTCTTTCTCTATTCTTCACGCTTCCCCTTCCCTCCAAGTAGCGCCCGAGGCGCATTCGGTGGAGAGGAGCGTGGCCGAATTCCAATCAGAAAGTTGAATGGATAGTGATAGCCTTAATTGTCAATTTCTCATAGAAGAGGATCTCCCCGACCCCAGAGGAATGATTCCCGGAGAATCTTGGAGAATTCTTGAGTAGATGAGAGGAAAGGAGTGATAAATTCGACTAAAATGGCGTGGTTTGGAGCTTGGCTGAACGTAACTAGCTAGGTTCCCCCCGCCCCAGCCAGGTTGCATTTGTGTTTGGGGGCACAGTGGTGTTTGGGTGTCTCTGTGTGTCTTGTCGAGACTGGGTCGTCTTTGAGATTTCTGATCTGGTGTGATTGTGTGGGTAGAGGAGGGGGGAGGGGGCCGTGGGGATGGTGGTGGAGAAAGGCAAAGACGGAAAGGCTGTCTTATTGTAAGCCGAGGCGGCGTGCCCTGGGTTCTTGGAAAGGTGGCTGGCTGGTTGGAGCTTGGGCATAAGGTTTCGATACCTTTCGATGGGGCTTTCCCAGTGCCCTAAATCTTTGTTCGTAGCTGTCTGTGGAATTACACATCCATCTGACTTTTAATGGTATCCCCAGTTTGGGAAGACACAGTGGGTCCTTGAAAAACCTCTCCAGATAGTTGAGAAGAGGCAGTTCGTTGTGTTTCGGTTAGGACTGTACGTGTACGTGGCGCCTAGACCACCCGCGAGGGGCTGTCCTGACGTTGCGTGTACCCTGCCCGGGTGACCACGGTTGGGTGGGCGCAAGAGGTCTGCTGTGGGTGGCTGCTTCACAAATACCGGGCGCCTACCACGCCTCTTTTTTTAGAGCGGAGGCTCTGTTACTTCTGCCCTAACCAGCTGGGGAGGGTGATAAATCCGTTAAAAATGCAAAATAAGCCGCGGGGGCGCGCCTGGGCTTCGCGGAATCACTGGCGAAAGTGGGTGTGAAGCAGAGGCGAGACCTCAGAAATACTGAGTTTTCTCCTGCCTTGCTGGTTTTAGCCCTACTGGGAGCCCGGGAAGCCACCTGAGCTTTGTTTGCGGATTCAGGGCTGTGTGATACGGCTCGGGGGCGCCTCGGCCGGCGGGCAGGGCCTAGCTGGGCAGGGCGGGGTGGCTCCGCGGCCCCGCCCCTCCGCGCCCTCTCGCTCCCCGCTCCGCGCCGTGGAGAAGCAGCGCCCCCTGCCGGCCCTGGGAGGGCGCGGGACCTTGCGAGAGTTTCAAGGCTTAAGAGCTGTGATTCCCCTGGGAGTGCTTGGGGTTTTGAAAAGGCCTTTAGGGTTTAGGGAGAACAGGGGATGTGTAACATATGCGCGGAGCACTGGCTCTGGCTCCGTGCCTTCTAAAGGGCGTTTGGTGTTTTGTGGCCCTCTTTCCAAAGCCCGTGAGGTACAGGCTAAGATGGGTTATCCTTTATTTCTCACGTTTCGGGATCAGCCTTTTTAAGTCCTTTGGTCGTTTGTTAAGCGGTCGGGGTGACTACTGTGTCCTTAGGAAGCACCAAACGGCGCTGCCCCATTTCTTCGTTCGAGGGGCTCTCGTCTGGGCATTCAACCCTGCTGTCCGATAAAGCAGGCCTTCTTCGGCCGTTCAGAACCCGTGGGAAACTGGTCTCTCTCGCTCCAGGGGTGGGTATGGGGATGGCGGCGCCCGGGTCGCTTCAGTGATGCTCCCGCTTTCTCTGCCCTGCAGGAGAACGGCCACGTGAAGGTGAACGGCGACGCTTCACCTGCGGCCGCCGAGCCGGGCGCAAAGGAGGAGCTGCAGGCCAACGGCAGCGCCCCCGCCGCCGACAAGGAAGAGCCCGTCGCTGCCGGGAGCGGGGCGGCGTCGCCCGCCGCGGCCGAGAAGGAGGAGCCGGCCGCCGCCGCCGCCGCCACTGAGGCTGGGGCCGTCCCTGCGGAAAAGGAGGCCCCGGCGGAGGGCGAGGCCGCCGAACCCGGGTCGCCCACGGCCGCAGAGGGAGAAGCCGCGTCGGCCGCCTCCTCGACGTCTTCGCCCAAGGCAGAGGACGGGGCCACGCCCTCGCCCAGCAACGAGACCCCGAAAAAAAAAAAGAAGCGCTTTTCCTTCAAGAAGTCTTTCAAGCTGAGCGGCTTCTCCTTCAAGAAAAACAAGAAGGAGGCAGGAGAGGGCGGTGAGGCCGAGGGCGCAGCTGGCGCCTCTGCCGAAGGCGGCAAGGACGATGCCGCAGGGGGTGCTGGTGCGGCTGCTGCCGAGGCCGGCGCGGCCTCTGGGGAGGAGGCGGTGGCGCCGAGCGAGGAGGCCGCCGCTGGCGAGGAGGGGGCGGCGGGCGGCGACCCGCAGGAGACCAAGGTGGAGGAGGCCGCCGTCGCACCCGAGAAGCCCGCTTCCACCGAGGAAGCCAAGGCGACCGAGGAGCCCAACAAGGCGGAGGAGAAGAAGGCCGAGGAGGCCGGGGCCAGCGCCGCCGTCTGCGAGGCGCCCTCGGCTGCCGGGCCCGGCGCGCCCGCAGAGCCGGAGGCGGCCCCGGCGGAGGAGCCTGTTGCCGCCGCAGTGTCGTCAGCCTGCGCAGCCCCCTCACAGGAGGCCCAGCCCGAGTGCAGTCCAGAAGCCCCTCCAGCAGAGGCGGCAGAGTAAAAGGGCCAGATTTTTTGAGATAATCGAAGAACTTTTCTCCCCCGTTTGTTTGTTGGAGTGGTGCCAGGTACTGGTTTTGGAGAACTTGTCTACAACCAGGGATTGATTTTAAAGATGTCTTTTTTATTTTACTTTTTTTTTAAGCAGCAATTTTTTTTTTCTTCCCCTTCCCCACAGATCCCATCTCAGATCATTCTGTTGCCACCATTCCAACAGGTCGAGGAGAGCTTAAAACCTTCCTCTTCCTTGTTTTCTCTTTTATTTTTTATTTTTTGCATCAGTATTAATGTTTTTTGCATACTTTGCATCTTTATTCAAAAATGTAAACTTTCTTTGTCAATCTATGGACATGCCCATATATGAAGGAGATGGGTGGGTCTAAAAGGGATATCAAATGAAGTGATAAGGGGCCACAATGGTGAAATTTAAGTGGTGCATGAATTTGCCAAGAAAGTGTGCCGCTAGAAATGATGGTGTAAAGGTTTAGTCTTTTTTTTTTTTTTTTTTTTAAAGAAAAGTTATTACGATGTATTTTGTTAGGCAGGTTTACAACACTACAAGTCTTGACAAAGAAGGAAAGGAAGAAAAAAAAAGAACACCAATACCCAGATTTAAAAAAAAGATCATAGTCTTAGAAGTTCATTTAAACCATAGGAACTTTTCACTTATCTCATGTTAGCTGTACCAGTCAGTGATTAAGTAGAATTACAAGTTGTATAGGCTTTATTGTTTATTGCTGGTTTATGACCTTAATAAAGTGTAATTATGTATTACCAGCAGGGTGTTTTTAACTGTGACTATTGTATAAAAACAAATCTTGATATCCAGAAGCACATGAAGTTTGCAACTTTCCACCCTGCCCATTTTTGTAAAACTGCAGTCATCTTGGACCTTTTAAACAAAAATTTTAAACTCAACCAAGCTGTGATAAGTGGAATGGTTACTGTTTATACTGTGGTATGTTTTTGATTACAGCAGACAATGCTTTCTTTTCCAGTCGTCTTTGAGAATAAAGGAAAAAAAAATCTTCAGATGCAATGGTTTTGTGTAGCATCTTGTCTATCATGTTTTGTAAATACTGGAGAAGCTTTGATCAATTTGACTTAGAGATGGAATGTAACTTTGCTTACAAAAATTGCTATTAAACTCCTGCTTAAGGTGTTCTAATTTTCTGTGAGCACACTAAAAGCGAAAAATAAATGTGAATAAAATGTACAAATTTGTTGTGTTTCTTTATATTCTGATAATACCGAGACTTCTAGGTCTTAGGTTAATTTTGAGGAAGATCTTGCATGCCATCAGGAGTAAATTTGCTTGTGGTTTTTAATCTGAAGTTGTCAAACTCTGAATTTCATCATCAGCAGTGTCAGATTACATACAGGAAGATCTTATAACATTCCATGTCAAATCTGTTATCTATCCGCAATTAGTTTTCATTTAAAGCTTGAACATAGTACTATTTTTATTGTAGTTATATAACATGTCAGATTAAATCATTTAAGCCAGAATTGGTGTGACCCTAAGACTATTTAAATGTCTTATGTGAAAATTCATAAAGCTGCGTGTTCTTGTCAGGCTGGTCCAGAAATGAAAATTTTATACTGAGTAAGAGTCTATTTAATCCAGACTGCAGGTGGGTCATGAAAAGTGGCCAAATGTGTTTTGAAAATTGATTGTGTAGTACCTGCCATTGTAATTGCTTAGCACTTGGCTGATTTCCAAATTATTGCTTGGGTTCTGTGTTATACCTTAATGAAACAAGTTTATGTAAAGAAGTAATGGTGTTGAATAGACGACATTGTCAGTTATGGGCCTTTAGCACTTGCCTCAATTCAATATTTGCAAGCAATTTTTTTAAATGAAGAGTAACATGTTAGCATCTTGTTACTCAAAACGTTGAGAATAATGCTTCCTTATATGATAATAATCCTTTCTAGTTCATCTGTTCTGCTCTTGACTACCCATATATATATATATATATATATATATATATGGTTATTTTTTTCTTCACTGGACCCTAAACTGAACTGAATTTTAAGATGTGTACCAAATACCATTGGTTCATTAAATGCAAAACAAAAAAGTTGGTACACAGGCCTGCTTTACTGTTTTTGAGGAGCCGTGTGTAGTGTAGGGTGCATGAATGCCAAAAAACTCAGTAAGTTAGCTTTTGAACATACTCTTCTAATTGGAATAATGGTTCATGACTTTTTCTCACCAAATACCCTCCCCACTAATCAAATATGTTTGGAAGGGTGTGCACTTTTAGTTAGGGCTTCTTGATCTTAAAGGATGTTTGAAAGTTAAAAGTCAAATCTGGTAACCAAAGGACTGCTTTATGGGCCATTCCCACCTTACCAACTTTTTCTCAGACTGATACCTAGTTGGACAAGTACAGTGCCGGTACGTAATAGAACTCAGTAAAAATGGATTTACTCCCTTAAAGTGAGTAGTCAAAAATACTGTGTAGCAAACTACTATATATTGCTAGCTTTGTTCTTTTAAAAGCTGAAATTTATTAAGATGCATTATTTTGATTTTAATCACTGCCGAAAACGTTTTGGGTGGTATTGATGGAGTGGTGGAATTTTCTCCAAGTGATTAAATGAAATTTGACATACCTTTTCATCCAAAGTTTTGTACATCACATTGTTTTCTAATGGAAAAAATGTTAATAATGGCTTTTTTGTATTACTAAAAATAGCTTTGAGATTAAGGAAAAATAAATAACTCTTGTACAGTTCAGTATTGTCTACTTAGTCTGTATTGGCAGTATGTATGATGTTTGCTATCTTTACAAAATACTTCCTCTGGATTCTAATAATCATTTGATCCGATTCCTATTGCTTGTAAAATAAAGTTTTACCAGTTGATATAATCAAGCCTGCTAAAATAGGGTTTTTTGCAAGTCTTGTTTTAAAATGCAAGTTTTAGAAAAAAATTTAAAATCTTAAGTGTTAATGGTAAGAGTAACTATTGTTCACTTTAAAGAATTTAGAGGTTATGCTTGATATTATACTTAGATATCAGTGCATCGATTTAAGGTGAGTCGGTACGCTCATACGTCAATGAAAAATTTTAATGGTGGAACTTGATACGTGTTTGAGAATTCAATTTATTTACATTTCTCCCCCTCATGTGAGTATAAACTTAGTAAAACCTTGCAATTAAGGTTAAGGATTTGGAGGAAGGGTGTTTTTTGCACTCATACTTTAGGTAGATCCTTGACTAACAGTTGGGGGGATATAGTTTAATACAGCCCAAGTCAGCTTAGAAATTAAAAAATTGGTTAAATAATAGGACTATTAGCTTTTACCTTCCCTTGTGCAATTTGCACATTGAGCCTCCGCCCCACCCCACCCCCACCCCACTTCCTTGCTAAAAGAAGTGTTTTTAAAGCAGGTTGTAGCAAGCAGGAATTTTAAAATGCTTTCAATCTGTTTCTCCAGGCTCTGCTGGGGATTCAAGTTTGAGTACTTTAAATTACACCCAACGATGCTATCCAGGAAACGGAAAATACTTTGAAAAGTTTAGGTGTAAAGTTCAACAACTTTGTTCTAGGGTTTTCTGTGTGTTTTAAATATTTTTAAAGTATTAGATAGGTGTAGTTGGCTAAAACTGGTTATCTTTTTTAAAATTTTTATTCTGGTAGTATGTCAATCATTGATGAATTATAAAAAGTCTTCTCGCTGTTACATATTTGTACATATTCATTTTAAATTGTAGGTAAGTCAAAATGAAATAGAGATAATTTTTATGAGTGTTTACTCAGCCCAAGGTACTTTGGAATTCCTGTTTTCAAAAATGTACAAGGAAATGCATTTCATTGTCTACAGCTAGGGCTCATATTTAACCAAAATTATAAGACCTAGTTTGATCTCATGTCTAATAATTTCATATGCCAGGCTTACATTTTAATAACATTTTCACTTTAATAAATATCAGGAAAAACTCAACATAAAATATAATAGATGCATGTTCAGATTATTGTCAGATTACTAACCACCTGAAAACTGCATGGTGGTATAAAACAATAATCATTAAATTTGTTTTTCTTTTTTCACAGTTTTATCGAAGCACATAATGAAAGCACACATTTTAATAAGCATATATATGTATACACCTGTGAAACCATCACCAAAATCAAGATAATAACCTTATCTAAGATGCTTATGATTCTGTGGGTCAAAGATTAGAGCCAGCATAACAGGGACAGCTCATCTCTGACACATGGTGTCTGTGACCACAGCTGGTGTTTGAAAAGCTCAGAGTTGCCTGGGATGGCTAGATTCAGGCCATATGTCTGGGGTCTTGGTTCTTCTCCATGGGGTGTTTGCTGGAATTGGAAAGTCAAGATGATTCCCTAACTAACTGGTCTGGTGCCCTGGTGGGGACGGGTGGAACAGCAGAGACCTACGGGTACCCTCTGCACTCACTGCAGTCTCAGGACTGCGACTGGCTTCCCCTAGAGTTGCAGTTCCAAGAGAGGGTGTTCCAAGAGACAGGAAGTATAAACTGCCAATCTTTTATAGCCTGGGTCCAGAAACTGGCACAACTTCACTTCTGCTATATTTTATCTATCAAAGTAGTCACAGAGCCCGCCCAGATTCAAGAAAAAGGAGACATGGATACCACTTCTTGATGGGAGAAGTGTCAAAGAAATTTTGAGTGTCTCTATAGCATGTTGGATGAACTCTATTCCTGAGTAAAAGAAGACTTCAAGTTGGAGACATGAACAAACTATTTCTTTTGGATTACAAAGACAGTGGTGGAGGGGAGGGGTAGAAATAATATCAGAATTCCCATCAGTTCCTCTGTTTTCATTGCTCTTTATCAAGCAAAGTTCTTCAAATAACCTGAAGTTTTTATGCCCTGATATGGTACGATGTGTGCATTTTGGATACAAATACACATGATTGAGATCATATGCTAAATACTATTGTATGCTTATTATAGGATATATGCATCATTTAATGGTATATTTTGCCACATAAATTATTATCAAGATTCCAAAATCATTACTGAGACATAATTAATTCAGTAAAATCATTTGAGATGGGCATATCAGATTCTATTGATGTTACTTTCTCAGGGCATTACTCTGTTGGGAATCTACTGTACTTTATAAGAATTTCATTTTTTAAAAGTGGGGGGAAGCATTGTAACTCTACATATGGATCTATTGTATTTTAATAAGTTTTACTAGAGATAATTTTAAATAGACTGCTTCATATTTGCTGAATAAATATAATCTGCTTTCAGGATAGCATATTGGAGAAATGTTATCAAGCCATGGTGAAAATATATTTCCTTATATGTTCAACCACTATGTGAAATGTGTGAATCTAACATAAAATACAGTAAAGTTATTTTTAAAGTTAGTAAAATACACAAAGTGAACCTTTTAAGAAAATGCCTTTTATTATAGTCTTTTGAGAAATGCGAGAGAAAGCCAATGTATAAATTGTTTACACATGGAAGAGGAGTACCTGATTCATATAAGGAGACTTAAATGAAATTATTAATTATTATTTGCATTATTTAAGCTCCCCGCCTCCCCCAGGGGAAGTGGCTAATACTTGGAAAGGAGTAAAGAACTACCTCACCTCCTCCTTTTGGCTTACAGTCGACCACAACCCAACCCAAGCAATCAGCAGTGATCTTTGTTTCTCAAGTATCTCACCATATTGTCATTCATAAAATATCTACTCTTGTGACTAAAGCACACAGGAATGAGAAGAAGGAAGAAAGAATCTTTCTCCGATCACATGTGCCCGCATCCATGTATTTCTGTATCAGAAAAATTCCAAAAGAACCATTAAACTTGTTAGTTACATGGAGTTCCAGAGCTAGAGGGGTGGCCAGGTGGTAAAGAGTTCTAGCATTAGGTAAATCTGGAGGTGATTTATAGGAACAACAAGCAACTGTTGAGGTAGTGACGTTCCTTGGGAGAGTGAAGGCAGCCCACAAAACAAGTAATGAAAGCAACACATTTCTTTTTATTTTGAATATCTTATATATTTGCTTATAGAATGTTTAAATTGTATGTCACATTGGCTTTTTAAGAGGCTCATATCAGTGGGGGTTTTTTTGTCTGTTTTTAACAGTTTCTTTACAAAGTTATACTGCTTCTAAGGAATTAGGAGATCATGTAACCAAGGTGAAAAGCAATTAAAACTAATTATTGTGATAGTGGTCCAGCTATGTTAAAGTAC